CGAACATAAGCTCTGAAAATGATGACCCACCAGCCCTTGATGTGATGAAGGAGGTAGGGAAGAATAAGGAAGTTGAACAACAGTAACTAGTAGAGGAAATTAAGCATAAGGTTGGAATTGACCTTAACTCATCACCTCTCAATATTGGACCACTTTTCATTTTTCCTTAACATTCTATGGAGACAAATCAATATATAAAGAATGGATAGCTGACTGCACGTAACAAGGATCAAATAGAGGAAGAAATTGGAAAAGATGAGATAGGTTCAAATGAAGAATTCTACGAAGAATTGACAACCGCAAAACACATTTCAAAAGCAAGTTCATACAAGTAAGTCACCTACCCCTCGAGCTAAACCTTACAGCATATTGAAGAAGAGAAACCAAGACATGGCAGTAGCAGAAGAGAGGTTGAATGAGCTCTAGGAGAATAATGGAGCTTAGACAACTTCCAACGTTCTACTGAAGTAACATCAATGGAGGGAAGTTTTGTACATTTACTTCTATTCATATTTACTTTTAAGCATTTTAGTTCCTGAATATTTTAATAATTTTATTTTCGTAGTATTGGATGAATGTTCCCAAAACCTTAAGAACAACTTCCAAGGTGCAAGGCAAAGAGTAGCATGCGTTTTTCCATAAGAAGAACAAAACCATACTAAAATTTGGAATGCCCAAAAATAGAAGCATGCGATTTTTTCTTGGCGGCAGTTTTTTTTCCTCATTAACTGAATTGAGGGAGTTTTCTGACCCTTATTTTGTTGTTGACAGCATGTGGTGTTGTTCCTGTGTTGCTTAGTCGTGTTTTTTTTTCTAGGTAGACATTTACTTAAGTGAGACAGCAAGCTAAAATGCTTTGTGGATAACATATTTCATGCTTAGTCTTACAAGTTAGAGCCATACAAGAATTGTCATTACATAGACTCCATGCTCCTTATCCTAATTTATGTCACGTTTGCTACCGCGATGCTGAATCTACTATCTTTTTGGTAAGCATGCTCGATCATGAGAAATCATAAGTCCTGATTACCTTTTTGAGGGAACTTTGTGTAAAATATTTTTTTCGTTATTTTGCCTGATTTTTGAACCAATAGTTTAGCTTTTTTTGTTGCTTTTAGAATTTCTAAATTTTAGTTTCTTCTCAATTTTTCGAAGCACAACCAAAATCCATGGATGGTCTTCATTTAACTAGTCACACGCAAAGGACAAGGAGAAGAAGAAAGCCATTCCACTACCACCCACTCCTCTGGACTTAGTGCCTCTTGAGCCACCTCAACCACCTTGACGTACGATAAATTTAGTGCCTAATAAACTCTTGCCCCCTTCGAATTTGAAAAAATTAAAGAAAATAAAAAGTTATATCCTTACCCAAGAACGATCTTCGGAAGTTTGCTGAGCGAACAACTCGGGATACATGGCTTTGATCTCATTTTCCCTTTCCCAAGTAGCTTCCTCGACCTGGTGATTTCTCCATTGAACCTTCACCAAGTCAATCGTCCAATTCCTTAACACTTTGGTTTCCTTAGCTAAGATCTCAATAGGTACTTCCTCATAGCACAACATTTCATCTAACAACAACGGTTCGGGATTCAGAATGAGAGAAGGGTCACCTGTTGGGTGTGTTGCCCTAAACTCGTAGTTTGTATTTATGTAAAAATAAATGTATATTCAATAAAGTTTTATTCAATAAATTTGTTGTTGAATTCATAGCATTCCATTGTCCAAAATCCAATAAACTAAACATCCAAGGTTATTTTAATGTAAACGGGACAGTATATATACTGGGTATGTATTTGATATACTAGGTATATATTTGATATACCCCTGATATACTAGGTATATATTTGATATACCCCTGATATACGAGGTATATATTTGATATACTCTTGATATACGAGTGGATAATGTCTCGTGAATAACTTGAAGGGTCTATAGTATATGGATAAGGTTGGGTACTTTATCCTGGCAACACTATGGATACACCACTTTGTAAATGTTACAGATGACTCGATCCAGGTCGTTCGTGTGGAGACATGCGAGTGGGGGTATCCTATACAATGAGTTTGTATAAGACTGGACTGCGAAATAGTCAATCTTTAGATGTAACGCCGTTGACTAACAGATTGCTATTTCATAGAATGACCAAACAACTCATTCTCAATCCTGAGTGAGTTATGGACTCCTGCCCGTGAGGGCTCGTTCTTTGTCTGTATGGGTGAGAGTTGCCCGAGTTGCCGACTTAATATTCCTACCATTTTGGGTACGAGACCGAGTCGGGAGCTGGGAACATAACTTCACAAGATGGAATTCACTCCTCCCCGACATTAGGGTAGTGGATGAGTGTTTTCTTTAAATGCTGACTCCGGGACTTGAACAAGGGGCCCCACCCTCTCATTGGCCCGAGAGGGACTTCCGGTTATTGGTCGGACGATAATTGGGTTGTTCATTAGAGGAGCAGTGATATTTAAGGAATAAGATGTAACTCAGGGGAAACCGGTAATTTGACCCAACTTGAGTTACGAGCACTCGTGAAGGATTGACTTGTTATTAATGGTTGTATATCCATGAACACGAAAACATTCTGTAGTGAGAAGAGTGCAACTACGGGTCTTTAGTGGAGTGACCAGTAGTCAATGAATGTTGATTAATTCGGTCAATGAGTTTGACCAATTAATCTCGTATCGTTAGAGCTTCTGATCTGTACGACCATTAGGTCCCCTTGCTAGCTCATAAGGGATTATATGTATATTGATACATTATAATATATAATTAATTCTAAATTAAAACTATATATTATGAGAGAAATTATTTGAATGAGATTCAAATAAAATTAATATGAATAAGATTCGTATTAAAACTATAGGTTAAAAATAATGTGCATANCGGTAATTTGACCCAACTTGAGTTACGAGCACTCGTGAAGGATTGACTTGTTATTAATGGTTGTATATCCATGAACACGAAAACATTCTGTAGTGAGAAGAGTGCAACTACGGGTCTTTAGTGGAGTGACCAGTAGTCAATGAATGTTGATTAATTCGGTCAATGAGTTTGACCAATTAATCTCGTATCGTTAGAGCTTCTGATCTGTACGACCATTAGGTCCCCTTGCTAGCTCATAAGGGATTATATGTATATTGATACATTATAATATATAATTAATTCTAAATTAAAACTATATATTATGAGAGAAATTATTTGAATGAGATTCAAATAAAATTAATATGAATAAGATTCGTATTAAAACTATAGGTTAAAAATAATGTGCATAAGATGTACATTAGAACTATAGGTTGTACGAGAAAATGCTATAGAATATGATTCTATTTATGTGATAAATAATTAAGGGTTAATTATTTATTTGATATATATATATATATACTATACAGTATATATATATATATATTAATTATTAATTAGATTAATACTTAATTAACATTTATTAATTAATATGATTAATTAATTAATTATATATATATATATTAATTATTATATATATATTAATTATTAATATTAATATTTAACTCCTCTACAAAATTGCAGAGCGGTGGGCAGTTAAGTGACGTGGGGTAACTCCCACGTCACTGCTTTTGTTTGGTTCTTTTGTAGTTCTGAAAAATACAGAATATACAGAACAAAAGAAGAAAAAAAAACTCCCAGCATCTCTCTCACTCAATCTCTCTCAATTCTCCCACTGTACACTACCGGGCTAATGTGTTCCAAGATCTCAAAAGGTTCAATATACCTTGGAGTGAGCTTCCCTCTCTTTCCAAAACGTATGACTCCTTGGACCGGCGCCACACAGAGAAACACCTTGTCACCGACGCCAAACTCCAACTCCTTACGTCTATTATCCGCATAACTTTTTTGTCGGCTTTGAGTAGTGTGCATCCTCGCCCTGATCTTCTGATGGCCCCATTAGTCATCTGCACCAATTCCGATCCCAAGAGTAACGTTTCACCAACCTCATCCCAATGGACTAGAGATCTGCACTTTCTTCCATACAAAGCTTCATACGGCGCCATACCAATTGTTGCCTGAAAACTATTGTTGCAAGCAAACTCTATCAAGTACAAGTGTCTATGCCATCCACCACCAAAGTCCATTATACAAGCCCTCAACATATCTACCAGAATTTGATTCAGACGCTCAGTCTGGCCGTCGGTTTGGGGATGAAACGTCGTACTAAAGTCAAACTGAGTTCCAAGTGCCTTATGCAAACTCTGCCAAAAAGTTGACATGAAACGAGAGTCACGACTGAGACTATAGACACTGGTATGCCGTGAAGTCTAACTATCTCCTGCAAATAAAGCTCTGCCACTTTTCCATTGAATAGGTGGCCTTGCCAGGTATGAAATGAGCAGACTTTGTCAAGTGATCCACGATCACCAAAATCAATGTGTACCCTTTAACCGTCCTTGGTAGCCGTGCGATGAAGTCCATGGCAAGATCGTCCCATTTCCAAATAGGTATGATTAAGGGTTGTAGCAACCCGGCAGGTATCTGTCTCGACGCCTTCACCTGCTGATATGTCAGGCACTTACTAACAAACTGGGCAATCTCTCGTTTCATGTCATCCCACCAATAATGCTTCTTGAGATCCCTGTACATCTTCGTATTCCCAGGGTGCACTGAGAACAGAGTATTACGAGCCTCTGCTAGCAAAACCTGCCTCAAAGAAGTTTCTCGGCACGCACAGTCTCCTTTGGTAGAGCAAGGCCGCATCGCCTGAGAGGGTGTAATCCCCTTGACCCACTATACTGAAACCTTTAGTTAAGCTGGGACCCTCCTTCTTGGCAGTGATGATTTGTTGTCTTTAGGTGGGTTCCACCGAAAGTCGAGCTAACATTGCCGCGACATCTTCCACTACCAATTCCACTTCGAAATGGTCCAACTTAACTAGTACTGGATTATTTGGTGCCGCCAAGAATGCTGCACTCGTAGCCTTTCTACTAAAGGCATCGGTCACTACGTTCGCCTTACCCGGATGGTAATTGATCTCACAATCGTAGTCCTTTACCAGTTCTAGCCACCTTCTTTGCCTTAGATTGAGCTCCTTCTAAGTGAGAAAAGTATTTCAAACTTTGATGATCCATGAAGATTTGAATTCTCTCTCCATATAGATAATACCTCCATATCTTCAAAACAACCACTACTGCTGCAACTTCCAAATTGTGGGTGGGGTAATGGAGCTCGTGCACCTTTAATTGCCGCGAAGCGTAGGCAACAACCTTCCCATGATGCATCAAGACACAACCCAAGCCCTTCCGTGAGGCATCACTGTACACCACTAGACCTCTCGTCCCATCAGGCACGGTTAGAACCGGGGCCATGACCAACCGTCCCTTCAACTCTCGGAATCTTCTCTGACACTCGTCGTCCCAAGCGAAAGTGGCATTCTTACGGGTCAACTGAGTCAATGGTGCAGCTAAGCGGGAAAAGTCTTAAATGAACCTTCTGTAGTAACCAGCTAGCCCGAGGAAACTAGAGATTTCTGTCACCGTGTTGGGCCTTGGCCAACTGCTAACTGCTTCTATTTTAGCCAGATCCACCGCAATGCCCTCTCTGATGACCATGTGACCTAGGAAGGCTACCTTGTCCAACCAGAACTCGCACTTTGAGAACTTAACAAACAAATTATTTTCTCTCAAAGCAGTCAGAACTTACCTCAAGGTAAATCAGAATGTCGTCAATAAACACGATTACAGACGTGTCCAAGAAATATCTAAAGACTCGATTCACGAGGTGCATGAATTCGACGAGGGCATTGGTGAGTCCAAAAGACATCACAATAAACTCGTAGTATCCATACCTAGTTTTGGAGGCTGTCTTAGATATGTTTGCCTCTTTAATCCTTAATTGATGATATCCTGAATGCAAGTCTATCTTTGAGAACACCTTTGTTCCTTTTAATTGATCAAAAAGGTCCTCGATACGAGAGAGGGGGTACTTGTGCTTTATTGTCACCTTATTAAGATCTCGATAATCAATACACAGCTGCATCGATCCATCATTCTTCTTAACAAAAAGTACTAGTGCACCCCAAGAGGACACGTTCGGGTGAATGAAGCCTTTGACTAATAAATCTTCTAGTTGTACCTTGAGCTCCTTCAGTTTGGCTGGAGCTATTCGGTAAGGTGCTTCCGAAATGTGGCTGTCCCGGACAGCAAGTCAATGCAAAAGTCCAACTCACGAACTAGGGGTAGCCCGTGAAGGTCATCGGGGGAACACATCAAGGAACTCCTTGACCACGTAGACGAAATCGACACTGGGAGAAACCTTATTAGTATCAACGACACTCGCCAAATAACCCCGAGCACCTCCCTGCAAAAGATGTATCGCCTTTAGTGTTGAAACTACCCTTGGAACCTCGCCCTTAACACCCTTGAACGTAAAGCTCCGGCCAAAGGGTAGCTGGAAGGAGACTTCCTTCTTTGAGCAATTGATGCTGGCTTGATTAGCAGCGAGCCAATCTATGCCCATAATAACATCAAAATCCCGCATGTCGAGTTGGATTAATCTGGCCTCCAAGATGTGGTCGTCAAAAGATAACTTCCCTGCTTTCACCGCTTGACTGGCAACCATAACTGAACCTGATGGTGTAGACACCGATAGTTGAAAACCTATGGGTTCTAGCTCCAGGACCGCTTATCGAGCAAACGCATTGGAAGTAAAGGTGTGACTAGACCCTGAATCAAATAATGCATAAGCAGGTACGCTAAGAACTAGGAAAGTACCTGAAGGGACGATACAAGAATAAAGACATAACTTCATAACGCATAACCCCAAAAACTAAAAAAAAAAAATGGTAGATATACATGTTACCACAGTCTCGGCATTTTCTACTTCTTCACCAGTAAGTGCAAAAACTCAGGCTTTCTGGTTACCTTCTTGAGTTGAAGCTGCTGAGGGGGCTTTTTGACCCAATCTTTGTATGTTTGAGCTGTCATAGGGCAATCCCTTGCTATATGACCTTCTTTCTCACACCTGAAACAGACTCTATTAGTAGACCAACATTGCCCGACATGTATTCTCCTACATGAGGAGCACAATGGAAGTGTACCCAGTTACTGAGGTGCCCTCGGCGGCTGATTAGGGAAATAAGTAGGAGTCTTCCTCTTCACACCTAAAGAGGAACCAATTTCATGAGGCGTCTGAACCTTAATAGTTACATCCTTATCCATCACCAACACACCCCAAATTGCTTCTGCGTAGGTGGTAGGTCGCTGAAGATTAACTTGTCCTCTGATTCCTTTGCGCAGGCCTTTAACAAATCTTTTTATCTTCTTTTCTTCGGTCGGAATTAGGTCTAGAGCAAAATGGGAGAGTTCTGTAAACTTCTTTTCATATTGAGTCACCGTCATTGTACCTTGGGTGAGATAGAGGAATTTTGCTTCCTTAGCATTCTTCACGGTCTCTGGATAATAGAAATCTAAGCAGGTCCTTGAATCTTGCCCAAGTGATGGGTACATTAGCATGGTAGAGCTTACCCTCTCAACATAAAGACTGCCCCCTTGACTTTGAATTGGTCGTTGCAGCCTAGGTATGCATATAGAGCTTCTAACTCTCCGACCCACTCCTCTGCTGCAGTGGTTTTCTTGCTTCCTCCGTCAAAAGTAGGGGGCCCATAGCGCTTGAAATCCTTGATGAATTGGGCCTCATCTGGAGGAGCTTGAACATGTTGGGGTTGTTGAACTTATGCATGTTAGGGTTGACTTTTTACTGCACAAACATGTGTCGGTAGCCCTGTTTGACCACGTTTTTGACCCCTTTACCATTATTATTTGCCAAAAAGGACTACATATTCTTAAAGTAGAACATGCATAGATTATTTCTACATAAAAGTCAAACTATGGTACTTTAGAAAAAATAAGAGATAAATGCGGTCAAAGTTGGGTGAAAATAACATAATTATGTTTTTGCAGAATTGCGCCTGGCGCATTTTTGGACGGAAAAATGTCAAAACGCACGTTTTGATTAATGAAGGGCAATGAGGACATTTCCCACATGTTCAAAACTGTGAGTCTAAGTCCAAGTGAGGTGGTTAGGTGAATGTCAACCCTTTTCCACCTAAAATGGAGGGGATTTTCAACCACCTTAGGAAGTCATCCCTCCATCAGCAAATCATTCCTTCCAAGCTTCATTTCATCTTCTTTTAGATGCTCTTTAGTTGTAGAACATGTTTTTAGGGTTTATGTTCATGTTCTAGTTGTTCATTTATTTGTTTTTCACGCTTTTGCAATTCGTATTGCTTTTAATTCAAGTTCTTACTTTCGTTCTATGTTTATTCTGTTCTTTTAAAGTTCTTTAGCGAGTTTCACTTCCCTCACGCTCGAGAGAGAAGAGGGTTAAGCTAGAACTCATTGTATGACTTATTTATTCATTTAAATTCAATGAAAAATACTTTGTTTATGTTTTCGTGCATTTACTTTCATTTAATTATGTTCTAAATTAGTTATTAACCTCCTTGTAGAATGCCTTAGTCAAACGATTTGATTTTCAACACGCTCGGGATTTTGGCCAGATTGTGCCTGACACTTTTTTGGTTGGTTTCTAAAAACTTCTCTTTACGTCTTGTTTCCATTCGGCCGGTGGGAACTTGATTTATACACCAAAGCCCAACCTTAGGAAAGGTGAGTTAGGTAAAATAATAGGAAACCGATATAAGATGTGACTTAGGAATAAGCGCATAAAATATGGTCCTAGGCATAGACCGTCTGACCCATAATGAATATGAGTTGGTAGATATTCTCTAGGATTGTAATCACACATAGGAATATGATTGTAGGTTACCCTAGCCTCTGCAGCAATCAAAAGCAGTAGTGAAAGAGTAGAACTCAAATCCCAAGAAAAGCCAGGAATTGCGCCTGGTGCATTTTCCCAACATAGTGTGTTTTCCATGTTTTGCATCAAAACTAAGGTAGGAGACAAGGAGGTTGAGTTTTATTAAATTGCTTGTTAGTTAAAACCCCAAACAACAACATTTCACCACTATTTTCTTCCTAAATACAATTGCATATTTGAACCGTTCACTTCTTAAAAACTGTTTTGAAAAGCAACAAGTCCATGAGGATTCGACCTTGGATTACTTCCGAGTATTGCTTGTGACCGTGTTGCTAATCAGTGCATGTAACGCTTCCTCAAGCAAGGCTACTTGGGGGTTCACCTAGGGGACTACCGGCGGAGTTAGAGGGACCACTCTTCCCTGTAACATTGCTGGAGGTGTATGCTCGAGTG